CCATATTGAACTCTCTGCTTAATGTATATAAACTCTTAATGCTTTATCTATGATTATTGATTGTATTTATCGCTAATTTTTGATAATATATTCATGTCAGCTCATTGCCATGCCTTGTTCTTTATTTCTTGTGAATATGTATTGAACATCTCAATTACTTAATAAAGTTTAACATTGTGTTGAGAGTGAGAAACACTGATCCTATTAGGTGGTAATGTTTAAACCGACGAATGAGGTCTTATATTCAATTGTGGTTCGAAAATTTTATGCGTTCGTTGTTCGTCATGAAGATGTTTCCATCATCTCATTTCCCATTGTACCCTTTCACCAATTGAAGGTGAATAGCAGCCATTCGATTCGATTCAATGAATATCAAGCCGAAGGTTGTTCTGAATCAAGTGAGCAGTGCATCTGAAAAGTGTGCATCGCAAATTCATCTCCTACCCTGTCATCTAGGCTATACGGGTGGCGCAAACGTTCAAGCATATTTCCAACGAGAGAAAGTCGACGAAAGTTAGTCGGTTCTGTTTTGCAGACTTTGATGTATTGTTCGGTATTTTATTCGCCTTTATGTTGAATTAGTTCTTGAATTTGCAGATGGAATAGTCTTTTCAAGATTACCATTGCACAGCTTCATTCATGTATCGGTTCCAAATTTTTCTTCTCGATCAATTTTTTGCAAATCTTATGGTGTCATTTGATATAATTCAATCAGTACATTGAAAGCATTCACTATCAGTGTTTTCTTCGGTGATGGGTATTTACGTTTTGAAAATTCAGATGGTAATGAAATATCAACATTCCGAGGTCATTTACTCAATGGATCAGTTCAAAAATTACCCGATGGATATAAGATGTTCGTTGTGAAAGAACGTTTCAATAATAAAGGTGAGACGGAATGCGATTTCGATCCAATTCGTTATCCAGTTGATCAATTTTTTATCCAACACGAACCACAAGAGATAAACACTTTATTTATAGGCGGTGAGCAGCAGGTATTCGATGCAGAGGCGTCGACGAGCGATTTCATGTTATGGGAATACGATCGGAAGCCATCCGAAAGGAATCCACTGCCCAGAGCGATTAATTTCCTTAGAATAGCAAATGATTTAGCTGTAGATGATGACTGATTTGTAAATATTATTTCTGCTGATGTCTTTATCTGGGAAAATGAGATGGCGCTATGATAACTGTACGTTTACAACGGTATGAAAACAAAATTTCTTCACAAAACCTGTAGATTTTTTGTGTGATTCATAAGCAGTTTCATCAACCAATTCCATCAAAATGGAGCAGTCACAAACGTAATCGCGAAAACTTTCATCGGTGATCGTTGGTAGAAAGTTCGGAAGGAGATAAAATTTCTTCCATTTCTTATTTTTCTCGCCTTTAGTTAATGATCTCAAGCATACGTCTTGTTTACTGGATTATTACTTTTTTGTGGCATTATCTTTATCGTTGACGTGAACTTGTGTAGCAGCAACGTTGATTTCTTTCTTTTTTTGAAAAATTCCTTCTCATCTTACTGAAGATTTTCTCAATTTCGGAATATTTCTATCACTTATGAATATGCACTCCATAGGAGTTTGAATTGAATTCAGTTATGTTCCAGTTCATGTTTGCTTGTATATAAGTCATTTGTATATGTTGATTGTATTGTTTGGACTTTATGAATGTTTCTTTTCTTCAAAATAATAACTCAATTTTGATTATTGGAGGCTTTTTGTTTGCTTCATTGAACGTTGTGTTTACAGAACACGTCCTGGCAGATTACTTTTGTTTTTGATTCCGGACATTTTTTGCGTTTATTCTCCTCGTTTGAAGCGGTCGCTTATTCTCCTTTGAACCAGTTATTTGTCACTGAAGGTCAAAATTCGATTGATGATTTTGAATGGAGATTGATGGACTTGCTAAA